GCGGGGAAGGCCCCTCCCGCCGGGCTCCGCCTGGGCCGGGGGTCGCGGCTCCACGCAGGACCCGCTGCCTCCCCGCTCCGCGCATCGAGTCCGGCTCGCTCTTCAGCCCGAGGGGCGGGAGGAGGTGTTTAAACAGCGGCTGGGGGGCCGGTTTGGGCAATGGGTGGATTTGAACGAAGCCGAGGGTGCAGGAGCGGCGATGCAGAAGGGCTCCCAGACTTTTGTTACAGTGTTTCAAGTAGGGCTGTTTCCTCCCGTCCACTCAAGGGACAGAAAGATGGGATTTAAGGTGCCAACAGAAACAGTTTGCCCGTCGGCTTCTTTTCTTCTCCCCCCAAAGCACCTTACCGACCAGAGAAAGCTGTGCTGGGAGTCATACTGGGAAGAGGATGGAGGGGCTGGGAGAGACACCTCCATGGTCTAAAGCAGGGGTGGGCAAAATGCAGCCCACGGGCCGGATGTGGCCCACCAGGCCATTTTATTCAGGCACCTAAGTATTAAATTTTCTAAATTTTTTATCTGCCCCTGGCTGCCCGTCATGCGGCTTGCCAAAATGCAGAGCAGGGGGGGCAGCTGCTTACTAAAGCCATTTTGAATTTTAGAAGTTTAAAAAAAAACAAACAAACCCCAAAACAAAACCCAACAATTGAATTCTTGCCCCACTCCCTTTGTGTTAAAGGGGCACCAGTGCAAACCGCTTGTGTAGGCAAGAAAATTAATACCAAACCAAGCAAGTGAAACTAGCCCTAGAAAGTAAAAGGTCCAAGGCCTTGGTGGAGGGAGAAGTCACTCCAATCATTAAACCGAATAAAAACACTACTAACCTGGATGTTCGCTCCTTTGAGAGATTATTGCAAGGGTCACATTGCAGGGAAAATGTCAAGTGCTGGCACTATTTGCTTATTGTCAGGCTTTCTTTCTCCAGTTCCCAGAGATAAGTTACACAAGATGCTTGACTTCAATTAATTATGAATTTTTTGATTAGCTTCTGACCCTCAGAAAAACACGGGAGCGAGAGCTTGAGTCTGGAGGGCACAGAAAGAACGAACGTGAGAACAGGATGGCAAGTCCTGCTTGTTATTTCTGAATGCTTATGTAACCACACTGCACGCTCACTTTTGGTGTAAAACTCCTGGAAGAAATTAGAAGCCTCAATTCAAGCCTAAATTTTCCCCTCCTTCAAGTAAGATTTCTTGTGAGAAAAACTTGGAAGCTGTGAATATCATTTGAAACTCAGAGTGGCCTGGGCTGTTGGGCTATTTAAGCTCCAATATGGGGTAGCCACCAGGTAGGACACAAGCAGTTCATGGGGGTGGTGGTGCTCTCCAATCCCAGACAGCATCAGACTGCCTCAGTCCCGTGTCACAGACCTCATGCGGGGACCCAGTGACATTTCACTCATGCCATGGGGCAGGTTGGGGAAGGAGGGAGCTACACTTCTCAAAATGGGTGGGAAAGCTCTTACCGTGGCAGCAGCAGCAGGTATCCAGTGGGCTGGGTGCCCAGCATCAAATTCAGCTGGTGACGGACGATGGGTTTATGTCGAGTGTCCTGTTTGAAGGTGATGCCTTGCTGGAGTTGGGGTCATGGGCTGGAGGCCAGGCTGAGCCAACACCATAGGAGGGAGGACTGGGTAAGGTGCAGGGGCTCCCAATGGATGCAGCGGGATTTTACCCGACACCTTATAACTTTTTAGTCCCTGTACCCCTCCTTCCCCAACCCCTCTCCTGACCTCTCTTACCTTTCATGTGTTCATTCAGAGGCAGGCCCAGTCTCTTGCTGCTCTTCCTGCTCCTCACAACTTGCTCAGGAGCTCCTCCCTCCTGCCCTCAGAGGTGGTGACACAATGGAGCCCCCCCTAGCTCCTCAGAGAGGACTGGTGGGGACTGGAGGCAGCTCAGAGCTCTCCTCCTCCAGGATAGTTCACTCCATCTCAGCAAGGGGCAGAGGAAAAAGACAAGTAAACATGGTCAGCACAGCACCGACAGAGCGCCAAGCATGACCAAGGGCACGTCTGTGCTTGAAACTCATGTCCCCACGACGGCGTGTCATGAACATGCATTAGCACTGCCCTGTTATGCAGTGGCTCAGGAGCCTTTGCTCTGCATTATTTCAGCCATGAAGCATCACAGGCTGGGAACAGATATGTCCTTGGACCAGTTGGGCCCATGTTTGTCCTGGAAGAGGAGAGCCCCAGGGTTGGCTCGTACACACATTGCTCTTCCAGTCGGGGTTTACTGCAGCAATTCTCAAGCAGGGTCCTGGTGCACCATGGGGTGCCACCATATCTTTTGAAAGGTGCTTTGAGATGAGCAGACAAATGCAGGGTTAAGCTTGTCCCTGCCTGAACAATCCCCCCATCCCCACTGCAAGAAAGTAAAAACTGTAAGCCATAAATTATTTTTTGAAGTTATGTGCAAAGCTACATGCTTGTGTGTGGGAGTCTGGAAATTAGACTGGGAATCTACAAGTTAGGGAGGAATCCCTTCAGTCCAAAAAGGTAGAGAACAACTAGTTTAGTGAGTAGCTGAAAGCACTGCTGCTTTTCTGCGAATGGAGTCAATGATGCAATCTCAGGATTACTCTTCAGAAGCACTTTGCAATATCCTGGGACAAACAGTTAGTGCTTCTTAACCTGTGAACCTTTTTAGTTTTTTTCCTGCAAAAACCAGACATGGATACCTGAAAGATCACAGTGCCCAGGATAAAATGGTTTATCCAAGGACAAATGTGATATCTGAATGTGTTGCAAAATAAACAAAAGTCTTAGGCCTCCATAATATGCTGCAGCTACTCAGGCACAGCCAAGGGTGCACTTGTGCTCCCTACTTCCAAGCCACTTGGGAACAGTGCATGCGCTTTTGTATGAGGTTTTAATCCAGACTTCCACACACAAGAACGTAGCTTTGCACTTTGCAAAATACACTTACTGTGGGGTGTGGGGATTTTAATATTTAGCAGGAAAAACTGCAGACTTAATCTCTGACGTTACACTAGGCCTTTCTCCCACAAGAAAGTGAAGGCTGTTTTTAGATAAGAGGCAAACCAGGAAAATATGGTTTGTCACCATATGCCAGGGGGGTGCTCAGAGCTAATGAGTACCAAAAGCTGCAGTGCCATGCCAGGCCTGCTGAGTTAGAGCACTCTTTGGTTTACATTCCTGGTTTTGACGCTTGCAAAACCATGCACAACACACTGCATAATAGATCATTCTGCACCACTAGGATGGAAGGCAAATTACTCAAGCCCTTTAGAAAAACTTGTATAACATGAACTGGGCTGGATAAGAACTGAGGGCATTAAACAGGAAACCAAATCAATTATTGTGTTTCTACTTTTCTGTGTCTGCCACAAACATCGAAGTACCTTTCTTTAAGGCAGTCATATTGTGTTGCTGCTACCTTAGCTGGAAGGATGGGTGGAAAGTTGGGAGGTGGCCAGAGAGCATGACCCACCCAGAAAACCTTTAGTGGTTGTAGGTTTATGGCCCTAGAAGGATAAAAGTATTTACACTTTCCTCTACAGCCATCACTTTGAGCAAATCTGGAAATCTTGAAATCTGGAATCACAAATAGCTGGTCCTGGCCTTTAAACCACAAGTTAAAAAAAGATAGGCTGATGTAGGTAGCCAGCAAAGCGGTATGGGAAACTAGGGGATGACTTTATAGGTGCGCAACAATTGCCTCATGGTGAAAACGCAACCATACCCATTTGGTCACAGGTAGACTTGGCCTACATCTCAGGACGGCTTCCAACCCGCTTCCAAAATGGTTTTAATAGTTCATTAACCAGATGTTTCACTACAAAATCAGTCATGACAAGTCTCAACCGCAAACTCACAGTAACAGCAACAAACAAAAAAGCTATCCCAGTTTTAAATCTTCTGCATTTATGCTAGTCAAAAGTAAGCACACATTTTGCAGTATTTTTAGTCTCTCACATGCAAGTATCCTCTCCTTAATGAATGTTTACTGTACCACTAACTACGGAGAGAACTAATCAAGACTTCTGCCCAAGAACTGCTCTACACTGACATTATTAGTCATACTCAAAAATACTAGCCAACACATCTCTCTCGGGAAAGTCGCTCCATTACCAGACTCACTAAATCCCCCAAGGGTAGAACAGTTATTTAGCAAGGAGTAGTGCTTTTGCTGGTATTTGTTAGTCAAGGAACTGGAACAAGGTGTATCTACTAAAAAGCTGTGCTAGTAAGATGATATTTTCAAGGTTTTTTTAATGTTAAGGAAAGACCTCAGTCAGTGGTCAGATCTGAATATGCCAGAGTAGGCTAAAAAGTCTTGATAATTACAGCTAAAACTCATTAGTGATGATTTTAGGAAGTCTGATGAATAGTTGCAAGTGTTAGTAAATCATAACTACCCAGGACTCCTAAAGCAAGCCATGCTGTTCTGGCTTCTGCACCACTAAATTATTGCCGACCCTAAAATTATTTCCTTTATATATTTTAAGTATACTGGCTACTGGTTTGACAGACTACCTGGCTTCATGGCACAAGACTGGTGATTAGAAGATGGATCTGAATTAGTCACTATTCTGAATACTTCAGATTTCTGTCCAGCTAAATAATTTTATATTTTTAACATTCAAAATTTCATATCCACCCTAGTTCCACAACCAGTAACTAATGCTGCTTTCAACTGATTAAGTTGCAAAAAACTGCACAGCTCTTCCTCTATTTTAAATCCAAACAAGCTTTGATTTACCTTACATCAGTAATAGACAAACTAGATATGAATAAACCACCCTAAAACTAAAATAATGTCAAGCTGTAAGGGCCAGCGTTAGTTGAATTAAACCTGGGCATATTTGAATGTAAACTAGGTCTCAGCATCCTGAGTAACACTGCCTTGAGACCATGATTTAGCTAATCAAAAATAAATGAATTAAACATCTTAAGCAGCTTAGATGTTTAGCTTGCCAGGAACATACTTGATTTCCCAGTAATCTCAAGAGCAGGACCCCAGAGACCTTCCGCTCAGGAGCTTGGCCCCAACTGCAAACAGGATACAACTGCTTAAACGTGAACTATGATTCAGAAGGATTCACCTGCTACCACCACCTGAAATGAGGAAGATTTCCCTTGAGCAAGCTTCCCCAAGATCTTTTCTAATCATTTGGCTAAATTAATGTTCCCCAAAACAGGAAAAAAAATGTAAATACCATGTGGGTCTCTTTACAAGGACCGACACAATCTATTACAGTAGTATTTAAATACTATCCATCCTATTTATAGCTAGACTCGTGTGATCAGATGGGTTTAATTCAAAACACTGTATGCCTTTCAGCATCAAATTAATTAGGCAGAGGGAAACTTTTAAATAGGAGTCTCCAACTCATCCTGCCTCTGGGCCAGGTTTCTAGGTCGTGTTCCTGAATTCCCAGCCCCTTTACTAGCCTTGCAGGTGACATACAGCTTCAGCCCAGACCATAAGTCTGACACTCTTGCTTTAAGCAACATGCTTGCTGCATTAGGGCAGCCTGCAGAATAAGACTAGGAACAGCGCGAGTGTCCTGCCCGTCGGAATAGAGCACTGCTACCCTCAGTCTCTATTTCACCTCTATTACTTGTAATTCAGCAATTCTTAGGGTAAAATTTGGGACTCTCAATATATTAACCAGCCACTAACTTTCAGACCTCTCAACTCTTTTAATGTTATCATTATCAAGTCAGTCCAAAAGCTTTGATACCGTCTAGAGATAGTGATTGTTTTAGACTATCCAGTACTCTTCCTGTTTCATTCATCACTTCCTCCTCAAAGATATCAGTGGACAAGTCCAAGTGAAAAGTTCTAGACGATCTCCAGTTTCCACCTGGAGAGGCAATACCAGTCAAAAGGCAGTACCCATCTTCCAGGCAACTGCTGCAGTCTGAAATGAAGCAAGTTTGAAAATAAATAGTTGAGTAAGGAAAACATTTGAGCTCTAAATTGCTTTTTACCTACTATTATCCAAACCCTACTTTAAAACTCACGCTCTGTAGTACGAAACTTGCCCTGGGGTGAAACAGAGACAGTATGGACCCTAATGACGCACACCTCTGGATTACTCAGCCCTTTCTCCTTCCCCTCACCCAGACATGGGGAAGGCAAGCCATGCCCCCCCACTCCTCAGTCTCCTGGCTATGGGAGAGCCAATTAGATGTGGGGTGAGGGCTTAGCTCTTTGAGGGGAGCACGTCCTACCTCTGGCCCAGGGGCCTGAATCACATCTCCAGGGGCCCTTGGAGCTGGCAGCATTGCATTATGGAGGCTGGGTTCACACCCACTGAGAGCAGGTGGTGGTGTTGGGGGGGGGGGTTAGCTTAGGGCCAGTGCCAGCCCAAGGATAGTAGAGTTTGAGGGTGGAAAGTTCATCAAGGATGGAGGGGCTGAGAGCTGTGCATCCTGGGATGGTGGCTTACTACAAATTGGCCACTGGTAGACCAGCTCAGAGAAGCCTTGCCTGAAGTGGTGTAACTTTTAAGATTCCTAGAGGGTACTTGGCACAGCTTAAACACCCTTTAATGTGTGGATGCTCCTATTTTAAGGGTTTATGATAACCTGTAACACCACCCTCAGATCGCTTTCTTCCAAACACTGAATCATTTTCTGTTTTGGAAATGACTAGGGAATTTCAGATCTGTTGGAAACAGTACTTTGCTCTCCCCATACAGAAAATAGTTTGGCAATGGGTTGGCGCACAAAGGAAGGGTTGATTCAAAAGCTGCTGGTCAGAAGTCACAAGACTCTTCTATCATATCAGCAACCACTATTCACATAGCAGAATGGACTGGTTGAAATAAACAGAATTTAAGATTAGATTTTTAAATGAGTAGTTATTTTAAAAGAATGCACGGACCCTGGAGAATCTGAAGAGCAACTCTCAACACAGGTTAAGTGACAAAAAGACAGGGTTTTGGTTTTTTTGATGGAGGAGGAGACGGAAACCTTGTAAAATCCAGGACTCCATGCAATGCATTCACTGAATTGCTGCCTTTTCATAAGGCTCTAGCCTATTCAATTCAGAGGAAATTCAACCAGATTCGTTGGCCAAATTTCTGAATCCGAATAGAATCAGGAGCCCCATTAATCTCTCTATGGCTGAATTCGACAATTCAGCCATAGACACAACTTTACATGTTTTTTTCTATGTCCCTTGAGGTACCAGGCGCGACTCGTGAATGCTGAGATGGTGGGGTGAATCAAGCGTTCCACCGGGGGGGGAAAGAGGACTTCCCCTCCACTTCCAGGTCCGCTGCAGAGCACATGGGGGTGTCTATGGCCAAATCAGAATCAAAATCGGGACAGTGATCCAAATCAGTGAATCAAATCACTGTCCCCTGAATCGGGCTGAATCTGAATCACATACTGCCTGCTTTGCGCACCCCTACTCTACACACAGCCGGCTGTATCTACCATTGATAAAATAAACATCTTCTAAACGTGGAACATTTAGCAAATATGACCCTCTGGTACAAGAAATCCTGTCTATGAATGTAACCTGCAGAATCAAACAGAAGTTTACAACAGGCACCTATTTTTAAGCAAACAGATTTTAAACCATATGCACAAAAGAATTTCTGGCTTCAGTAACCCACACAGTGGGTTGAGTAATGTCCAAACTGGATGCAGGGTTATCATTAGAACTGCATCGGGGTGTGCCCGATTTTGCAGTCCAAGTGCAGCACTGATCACCATCTTCACAGTGAAGCTTGGTACCCCTCACCTGATTGGCTGAAGGGCCTTAGAAGCTCCCCTCCCAGCCAGGTGTGCCCCCCGCAAAGCTTCAGGATGCCAGGGCTTCCCACCTGTTTTCAGCTCCCTTCCCCATGCTCTTGTGGAGGACCTACCAAATTTGCAGTTTCTGCAAAAATCATGAATTAGGTAGGTCCCTAGTTATCACTAACCCTGTATCTTAACTCTATCCATTTCCCCAGCCAATCCCTGGCTCCAAAGAATGCTCTACTGATTTGCCTCATCTGCAAATGCAAGCACAAGCAGCTACATATTTCAAATATGACAGCACACTGTTGCTTCTAATGTATATTTGGAATGCAGTATTTAAGAATGATTTTGCTACAGTAAGGTACCATTACAAAGCTTTGACACTTTGGCTATGTTGACATATAAACTATCACTACAAGAGTCACTTGTATTAAATACACTGAATATGGAGAAAGGCCTCCATCTCTCTCCAATTATGTGATACCAAACTATTTCCTCATTATTTAGTCCACAAGCATGCTGTAAATTAGGAAAGCTTAAAGTACCTCATAACACACAAAACTAAGTCTTATCCATTCCTTCATTAGGAAATGAAAGTGTAAGTAGAAGCTACTGAATTTACATCAATTGAACTTTAAAGAATTAGTTTATTGTTATTTTTGTTTCCATACCTGCAGTTCCTTAACCGGAAATCTGGTAACACATTCATCCAGATAAGTACAGTTAGCAGTGAGTTATTACTGCAGCATACCTGGCTGGCATATCAGAATTAACAATTATGCAAACAAATAATTTTATACTCTATGTAAACCTTAAGGCATTTCTAAACCAATTAAAATCAGAATACTGATTTATGCAAGTATCAATACTGCTTTTAAAAACATTCTGTGAATCTATCAAAACTGTAGTTTTGAGATGTTCAGGCCTAGTATATTAGACATCTTAATGAGTTACATCAAGAACCATCCCTTTCATCAAGGGACTGTTGCCTTTAACAGACCTGCAGAATATTTTGAGACTTGAATATAAAGGAAAAAAAAGTTTTGCCAGTAAAACTGGTGTCTTTTTAACAAACAAGACAGACACAGCAAAAGGAACAGCATTCACATAACTTTAAGCATCATTTATACGCAATTAATTCAACACATACCTCATGAATGCATCAGGAACACACATAACCCTAAATGAAACCTCAGACTGCTACCTGTGCTGTCAGAGGACACGCACAAGAGGAAAAGAACTAAGAGAAACCAAAACCAGACTTGAGTAGTTCTTAGTAGCACGTCTCAAGTTTGACACAGAAAGCATACACTCTTCCTAAGTAAAAAAAACCTGAATGACACAAGGAGCAGTTTATTATGTTAATATACAGTTTTTAAAATACTTTTTTTTCTCCAAATATAGGGAAGCAATCTATATAGAATCTTTCCAAGTCAAAACATTGATTGGCAAAGCTTCAGTTTAGTTATAGACCAAGACAACTTCACTAGACTGCTTTTCTACATAAATTCTACTGAGAAATCAAGAAAGTGACAAGGAAATTAATAAGCCATGAGCACCAGGCAAAAGACTGGAGGCCAAATGCATCCCTAAGTCAGTCAATAACTATACTAGAGATGAAAATGACCCATTTGAACATGGATCACTATCTGAATAGAAAGACAAATATCAGGAAACAGTTACAATAAGCACACATGTAAAAGTTAAAAAGAAGCAATTCAATTGGAGTTAGTTGTCAATATCTAAATACCTTGATCCAAGTATTAATCCAAATACAATTTGCAGATTTTTCTTCTATGTCAGTCAACCTGAATTGCAAAATTGGAACAGCCCATCTTAATTTTCTCCTTTTTTCTACTTATTTTTCTACAGTAGGCAAAGGACACAAGCCTACTGCATTTACATTACCAACACAACAGTGAGCTTAAAAACAAACAAACAAACAAAACCCCCAAATCATTTAATCAAAGTTTAAAGTTAAATTTATTTTGAAATTAGATACTTAAACTCCAGCCCCTGCTTGCCCAATTTAAAACACACTGCTTAACATTATCAGTTTAGATCTACAGTGTTCTTCATGGATAGTTTTGGCATTTACATTTAGATGGCAGGAAATTAAATATCTGAAAACAGCCTATAGACAATGCTATTTTAAAGAACGTGGAAATTCCAAGCATACCATTGACATCTTGAGGAGACAGTTGGAACATTCAGTTTACAATTTGTAAGTGTCCTAGGGAACAAAGCATTTGATCCTTCCCCTCTCAATTATGTCTGTGGACTAAAAAGGACAACTCCTGCACCAGATAATACGTGTGAAAAAGTCTGAAAAATCTAGTGAAGCAACTGGGAAAGAAAGTGAACTCTAACTACATCTAAGAGGTATTTACTATAAAGCAAAGCACCTTGTTTGTAGTTCCAGCTTAAAGAATAATTTACCAGAACCTAAAATCAGTGCTAGCATGAACAGAAGATAAGCGCTTAACCTCAGGGGTGTCAAACATGTGGCTAACAGGGCTCCTGGAAGGGCCAGGAGAATTGGGAGGGGCTGGATCCAGATCTGGCCCAGGGGGTCAAATAAATCTGATACCCCTGCTTTACAGTATAGTAGGTCCTTAAGAATATGAATTTATAAGTTAAGAAATCTAGGCAAAGAAAGTCGGAAGGCTTTTCAGACCTCTTTGCCAAGATCAATTAATTACATTGTTGGATATTTTGTCACCACACTTCAAGTTGAAAAGTAAAATTCATCTAAACTTTGTACTTAGCTCCACTTCAAGAATAGGACACAATGTCAACACAAAGAAAAGTTTAAGATACTGACTCAAATAGTATTCAAAGAGAATTTCTTTGATAGTAATGGCTGAGGTGCCCACTGCAGCTTATTTTCTAATTCTCAAGCAGGAAGTGAACACTGGATTAACTGCTATAAATGCTTCTAAGGGAGGAACTTTCACTAAAATACTTATTACCATTTTGGGGAGTGCCACAGAATCATGTCAAATGTGAACCACCATTAAGTTTCAGCTTGCATGTTTAAATTTTTTTTTTTTTTTTAATTTGCATTAGGAATTCCTCACTCTAAGGAAAACAGCTTTCACCAGGCCTTTTATAATTCCACAACCCTTGGAATTTGTTAATGTGAGAGAAGTTCTGAATAGCTAAGAGATTAGTGTGAAATTCAGGAAGTGACAGCTGAAGTATATGATAACAAATAGGGCATATTCTAGCAAACTGCTAGAAAGATTTAGATTTATCCCTATCAATGTTAATATAAAAACTTGAGTGAAGAGACAGTACACCAACTTACAGTAGACTGGTAAAGGAAGAACTTGCACTTTTAATACATAAAAAACTTCTGAAAGCCATTAGGCCTTTAAGATTAGTTTTCTAGTAATCTTTCATAAGGATAAGACGGGAAAGAAGAGAAGGAAGTCTGGTATAAGCAATTTGCTTAAGCTTGTTAGCAGTCATCATCCAAATACCATACAAGAACACCTATGTAATTTTAATCTTTTCAGTTGGTAAAATTCACTTAATCTAATTACATCATTTATGAAGATACAAGTTTCAAAACGTAACACCCAGTGTAAGAGTTGTAGTCATAAGCCTTTGAAGCGTATAGAAAACTCAGTTCTGTCCTTTAATGCTGTTTTCAAGTTTGTTTTATTAACTCTTTTGGATGACTATAAATAAGTGTTTCCACTATGGAAAAGAAAGTTAGCACAGTACATTTTCATGACTGGGAAATGGATTTTCTCAAAGCATCTTCAAAAGGGCAAAAGCTTAGAAAAAAACAACTTGAATGTCAGAATTCAGTTCTTTATAAAGTCCCTTGTAAAAATAAAAATAAAAAAAATAAAGAAAAAGAAAGGGAAAAAACCGCAAGGCCCAAGATGATTTATTGCTTTTCTTCAGTTTTTTCCTTGGTCTCTTTCTTCTCAGCTGCTTTGCTCTCTTCCTTTACAGAAAGCTCTTCTAATTTCGCAGCAACTTTTTCAGCACTATTGTCTTTGTCTGTGCCTGCTAAAAGATTGTTTGAAGAACCATTAAAATACAAGCAAAGGTAGGACTTTGTTAACAGGGAAAATACAAAAGAAATACATATGCAGAAGAACAGTGTGCTAGCCTGTTTTTACACTGGAAGAGTTGTAATTGACTTTCAAAACAAGGATGCAGAATTTTGTAAGCTCATTGAATTGTCCACCAGAGTTGACTGTGCCATCTTTTCCCTTGCTAATTCCTCTTGTCCAAAATGGGCAGGTATCTTCCCTCTAATCTAAGTCAATGCGTGACCTTTCAGCTATGCTAAGGGCTGTATGAATAGGAGGTGGGAGTACCAATCTGCTACAGAAGGGCTCAGCAAACTATCAGGGGCAGCATGCCACATTAAAGGAGACTGGTTTTAAGGATGTTTACTGCTTGCACCTAGCTGCTGCCAAATTGTTGCTCGTGTCCTGGGCTTTGTAGGCCAGATAAAGGGGGAGAAATCCTTTGGCAGGTATAAGTCGCTGTTCCCCGTGCTACAGGATTGCTACTGATAAGGTGTAACCTCTGGATTTGGACATACTAATTTTACAGAACTTCAAGCACCTTAGGTAGCCTTACCAGTGTCAAGTACAACTTTCTACAACCTCATATCCCTTTCCACACCAACATCTTTGTCAAAAAGGAGCAAAACAGCCCAAAAAAACCCAACCTAAAACATAAATTTAGAAAGACAATACTAGGAATGAATATCTAAACCAGAAGAGGCCCCCACACATTTCCTGAGCTGTTTGAACTGGAAACTGTTAAACAAATCTACACTGTATGAAACTGGAGAGGTTTGTTTAGCAAGCTTTTCTCTACTACTGTGAATTCTCTACTTCAGAAGTCATAGTGGCAACCCATTAAATGAAAAAGTAAAGCAACCAATTAACAAAGCAAACAAAGTTAAAAAAAAAAAAATCTTCCAAAGGATAGTTACTTGTGGGTGGAGGTGCACCAATACATCAGGTGCCTACTGGACTGGTACCGATCAGAGGGAAATTTACATTATCAGCTACCGTTTTTTTTTTGCCGCTGTAGCCAATTATGCTTACTGATAATTTTGCCTTCCGGCCAGTGCCCTGGACATATGGGTTCCCTGTCCCCCACGAGGCCAGGGGACCTAGATGCCTGCAGTATTCTAGCCTGTCCCAGCATTCTAGCCTGCAAGAGGTCCTGCTTGGAGCTGCTAGAAGTGAGACGCAGGGGGCGCCGTGTGTATGTGCGCAGTGGCATGCATGCACACCGCCAGGAATACAGCTGGGCAATGTGGAGAGCAGCTCCCTGCAGGTAAGTCTATGTAGGGGAAGGGGCATATGGGAGGCAGGGGGGGAAGACAGAGGCCCCCACGGTGAGGGAGGGAGTGGGGCAGGGGATGCTGCCCAGCCAAGGCAGTGCATGGAACTTGGGACCAGGAGCAGGATAAAGCCACAGGCAGCTCAACCAGGGGGTTTTGGGGAGCAGCAGCTCCATGCTACTGTGCGCATCCCAAGGCAGGCATGTGCCCCCCAGATTTGTGCGCATGGTAGATGTGGGCCGCCTGCTGTGGGCTCATGGCTCTCCACTGTTGCCTCTCTGTCAGGAGCCTCATGTTGACCACACCCCCCCTGCCCAGCCAGCAGCACTGGGGGCAGCTAGTTGTGCCTCCCACTGCTGGGCATGCAGCTGGTGCGGGGCTCCCAGGGCAAAGGCAGCAGGGCAGAGAGCCCCGAGCCTGCAGCAAATGAACTTTAGTTCAAGTGCTGCCAATATCACTTCAAAGCTTGGGGACGGTTTTAAGCAGAGCAGAGCTGAGCTGGACAAGGGCAGATATGGGCTGCCCGCCACAGACTCAGGGCTCTCCTTTCCACTGTCTTTGTGCTCGGAGCCCTGTGTCAGCTGCGCAACCCTACCCGACCAGCAGCAGTGTGGGTAGGGAGCCGTGCGCCCTGCTGCCAGGTGGGCAGGGGGTGCGTGGCTGGTGTGTGGCTCCCAGGACAAAGGCACCAGAGTAGAGAGCCCCGAGCCTGCAGCAGGCAGCCCACATCTGCCCTGTGCACAAATCTGGGGGGGCATGACCCCCCCGGGGGAGGCACACAGCAGCAGAGAGCTGCCGCTCACTACCCCATGGACGAGTCACCTGTGGCGTCATCCTGCTCCCTGCCCTGCCAATTTAACTGAAGTAAATCAGTTATCGGATTGGCACTGGCCGATACGGTTGGTTAATTGGCTATCAGTATCAGAAAATCTTTATCAGTGCACCCCTACTTGTGGGACACAGCAAGTCAGGACTGGTAAATGCTCAAAGGTATTCTGCATTTGTGGAAACAACAAACACACCATTCCATGACAGCTGTCCTAAAAACTGTATCAAGAGCAATTGCAACAGTCTTCTACAGGAAAAGAAGCGTTTTCAACACCCTGAACCATTACTCTAGCAGACTGAAAAAGCACCTGGACTGAAGATTGCAGTCAGGCACAGAGTGAGTCTGCCAAAAACAGCAACACCACCACCCCCCCTCCACCCGGACACACACTAAAGCCTTGGGATAGGGGACTCAGCTAAGTTTGATAAACTTAATTACTAACTTACATAGTAAGTATCTAAATTTCAAAGAAATATTAAACATCTTACCCTTCTTTGACCTCTTATCTACTTCATTCCTGCATTCTTCAAATTTTGCCTTGAATTTCTGTGCATCTGTACAAAGGAAATAAGAAATGCTTTATTTAGCTTGAGTTCCCTGCAAAATCTGAGTTCCCAAATACCATTTGATTTAAAATAAAGTCTAGTGCAAGTTTTGATATTTATTAAGTGCATATTTTTTGAACAACAGCAAATTAAATCAACTGAGGTTGAAAGCAGTGTTAAGTATTTAGGATTCTAGTCTCTCTCATTTATTTAAATAGAGTGTCTAAAGAAAGAAAAAAAATTGCACTTGAGCAGTTTCTCAAGAATACTCACATTTTCAACTTCTGCCACTAATCAATGTTAAGCAATGTCCTATGAATTTGTTCCAAGTTGGGGCCTATGGTCTGAGTGCATCACACTTAGATTTTTCTCTGCCAAATTCAGTTAAGAAAGACCAGCGAATTTGCACTACAAATGCCTACACCACACATGAGAAGACTTTAGGCTGGGTTTTCAATCTTAAAAATTTTTTTTAAAAGTGCCAGTCGCTACACAGGGCAAATGTAGCCAGCTTTAATTTTTCCAGGTAAGGCACAATTTATTTCCAAACTAACGTATTTCAGTATAAATGAAGTAAGTATATTTTTTCACAGTTCTATCTAGAAGAGTGGCGGTCATTATTACTTTACTTACTATTATCCCTCCAACTCAATCTGAGAAAAAGAAAACCAAAACAAAAATCAAGTCACTGCCAAATAGAGCTACAAAGATAGCTTGATATACTAAGTTACCTTGACTGACCACTTGAGGTCACTGTTGGCCCACTGAAAAAGACAGCACTTCCATAACCAGCTATAAAATCATTTTAGAAACTCTTTGGAATGTGTGCCATATCCACAAGTTTTTGGAAGAACTTCCTCTAAAGAGAATGCATTAGGCCAAAAGGAAACCCACCCACAGTGACATCACTCAGCCAGACTAGAAATTAAACTCTATATTTATGAGCTCTTAGAGAAAGAGTTCTATCACCAGTCAGCTTTGCCTATAACAGTGGTTCTCAACCTTTTTAGGCCCAAGGCACCCCTCAGAAAATGTCTGCTTTTAGTTTTCACTCATTTTTTAACGATTAAAGAAAAAACAAACCACCAATATGGTCATTTTTCAACTGCAAAAATTCAGAAAGAGCACAACAGGTCACAACTTTTTTTTTTTTTTTAACACTATGGATTATTTGAAATTGCTTGGTTTATCTTGTGAATCATATTTGCATACCTAACAGTACTAACATTGTGTGGTACCCCACAGCAATCCCAAAAGGATCTCAAGGCACCCCAAGGTGTCACGGCACTGGTTGAGAATCACTGGCTTAGAAAGTTTCACAAAAACAAGCTGTTCACATTTATAATATATAGGTAGTAGAGATATGATACAATTAAAACAAAAAGTGAGTATCATTTGGTACCTCTTTAGTGCAGCAGACAACCATATGCAATTCTAAGGGAAATGGGCCCGAATGGAAGAGACAACTTGTAATGCCAACGTTCAAATCTCAATGAAAAAGGAATTATTTGAGGCAGCATAAATCCATTGACGAATGTCTTTCAGGGATGTTCTGTATTAATGTTATTCTAGACCACAAGCCTCACTGGAAACAGAACATCAGTACACTTATCAAAAAATGCCTTTAGATACTAAATGCTGCATTGGCTATTACAGATGTCTAACAGCTACTGTTTCCCTATGTATTAAGAACACTGCTAACAGTTAACTACTTGCACCATGCCACTCACTTTCTGCATTTAAAAATCGGATTGCCAGGAGTTCAGGTTTAGGGCTTTCATCTGCAAAGTCAGCATGTGTATTCCAAACCCATGCCCTGTCACTTCCAGCATTAGGCTTCAACTCCATTAAAGGTGTAACTAGAAAAAAGAAAAAGACTGTTATGTACATGGAGAACTACTCTGAAATATTTTCCTCAGTAGCTTCACAAGTGAGCCAAATAAATTAACTCTTATAATATCCATTTACTTAGGCCTACTCTCATAGGGATTAGGGCAACAAGTTAGCTAACATGAATTAAAAATGTGACCACCACATACTTTCTGCCCAACGTCCCAGACCAGTTCTAATATTATAAAAGCCTAAGTCTGCCTGTCTGTCCGTAACGCTTTATACGCACTCTGATTAGCTGACAGAAACAGTCAGAGTGCTCCAAGCATGGGGGAGTGTCGCCATGATTCCAAAGCTGTGACCAGACAGAGGGTGGGGGAGTCGAGGCCAGCAGCACTGGCCTCGGCTTCCCCACCTCACTCCTTGCAAGAGGCAGAACAACGGCAACATGGGGCATTAGGTGGTGGCACTCCATCCCAGCCCCTCTCCCTGTCATTCCTGATGGGCAATTGGCTAGTTTAACATAAAGCCAATAATTACAAGAGTGCCAAGAACCCACTCTTCAAATACAAAAACAGTCAGTTTCTATTCAGTTCTACTTTAGAATGCACTTAGCATATTCAAAGACCAATAGCCAAAATGTATTTACTTTGATGCTTCAGAAAAAAACACCTAGAAGCACCCAAATAAGATAGCAAAGTGTTCTCCTTTCTCATGCTGGCAGTCTTGCATATTACAGCCCTTTCAGTTTCTACAGGTATAAATAATAACTGCAAGGAAAAGTCAGCTAAACAATTCTGTCCCTCACAGCATCTTAAATCTGTTGCATTACCTTGCAGTGAAAGTTCTCAGGTTTACTACGAAGAGCACATTTCCTATTTTGAATTCCTCTGCTACCCTTTGTTTAGCATTTCCTGCAACTGTACTAAATTAGGTATTTGTGCTGGTCAGACATGAGTTTGATGCAAAAGTTACTAAATGGAATTGTATGCTGTCTTTTATAGGTAGGTGGATTAAATTAACGGTACCTCCTAATTTTGATCTACAAGACTGGGTCACCTTGTTTCATATCTTAAAACGTTTCCTCGTACAGGTACCTCACCTATTGTTCCAGTGGTTTGGGTTTTTTTGCTTTATCTCTGGACCTCTTGCTTAGGTTATACAATATATATGTGGCTCACAAGCAAACTACAGTCGATTTATTTTAGAACACCAGAATGCTATTAGCACAGTAGTACCAGTATATAGTATTCCAAGACTGATAATTGAAGAGTTTTTGAGGGTACTTTGAGAGAATGGACAAATTTTCCTCATTCATTTACACACTTCCCCCCCCCCCCACTAAAAGGCTGGTTGTCAGAAGTAAATTAATCTTATAAGGACTACTAACTACTTAGCAGAGCCTTTTTTTCCCCTCCCCTTTTTAATATTTAATGTGTTACTTCTTTCCCCTAATATTTTACGCAATTATATAGGTTTGCATTTATCCATACCATTTTTCAAACAAATCATAGACAAGTTAGCAATGGGCTTTCTATATTACTTTTTCATTTTAAATCTGCATCAAGCTGCATTTGGTTGGAGGCTGGCAGTGAATTAATATATAGTAACAGCCTTTTGAAAATTAAAAAGGTACCTTAAATATGATCCGTGTGTTGGACAGAGATTAAGTTTTATCATAACATTTGATAAAATGCATTTGAGACCGATTAAACAAAGTATTCCCTACAGCTTGAATTGGACCACATGTTTCTAATCACCACATTCCTCAATTTTTTATATTG